CAATAATTTGAGAGTACAGGTCCTAGTCAGTTAGCTCAATTGGTTAGAGCACTGTCCATATACCTCAAGGTTGTGGGCTTGATCCCTGGTCAGGGCACATACAAGAATCAGTGAATGCATAAACAAGTGGAACAACAAATTAATGTTTCTCTCTCTCTCTCTAAAAATCAATCTATAATTTTTTTTAAAAATTAGGAGTAAAAAGTTGTAAAAACCACTAAATGTTTAAAGCCTTTAAAGAAACTGCAGTAAATATATTAATAAAGGACTGCTTCATATCCTATCTAATAAAAGAGTAATATGCAAATTGACCATCACTCCATCACACAAAATGGCTGTCCCCTGTGATCAAAGATGGCTGCCCCCATGTGGACACAAGATAGCCACCATAAGATGGCCAGCAGGGGAGGGCAGTTGGGAGGGACCAGGCCTGCAAGGGAGAGCAGTTGTGGGCTATCAGGCCAGCAGGGGAGGGCAGTTAGGGGTGACCAGGCCAACAGAGGAGGAAAGTTGGGGGCAAATGGGCCTGAAGGTAAGGGCAGTTAGGAGAGACCAGGCTTACAGGGGAGGGCAGTTAAGGGGAGACCAGGCCTGCAGGGGAGGGCAGTTAGGGGTGACCAGGCCTGCAGGGGAGGGCAGTTAGGGGCAAAGAGGCTGGCAGGGGAGCAGTTAGGCATCAATCAGTCTGTCAGGGGAGTGGTAAGGGGGTGAACAGGCTGGCAGGCAGAAGCGGTTAGGGGCAATCAGGAAGGCAGGCAGGCGAGCAGTTGGGAGCCAGCAGTCCTGGATTGTGAGAGGGATGTCCGACTGCCCGTTTAGGCCCGATCCTACTGGATCTAGGATCGGGCCTAAACGGGCAGTCGGACATCCCTCGAGGGGTCCCAGATTGGAGAGGGTGCAGGCTGGGCTGAGGGACACCCCCCCCCCGTGCACGAATTTCATGCACCGGGCCTCTAGTTTTATTATAAAAAATCAGCAACAAAAAGAACTACTGATGCACAGAACAATCTGAATGAATCTCTAGAGAATTATGCTGAGTGAGAAAAATCCAAACCAGATTTTTGATTCCACCCACATACATCGTTTTTAAAATTTTATTTTTCACTTACATTTTACATTCAATATTATTTTGTATTAGTTTCAGGGGTTAGATAATCGTATACTTTACAAAGTGATCCTCCCAATATTTCAAATACCCACCGGGCACCATACATATAATTAAAATATTATTGACTGTATATTATTGTACTGTACTCCCCCATGACTATTTTGTAACCACCAATTTGTACTTCTTAATTCCTTCACCTTTTTCACCCAGTCCTCCAACTTCCCTCCCCTCTGGCAACCATCAACCAATCTGTTCTCTGCAACTATGTGCCTGTTTCTAGTTTGTCTGAAATGACAAAATTACAGAAATGGAGAACAGGCTAGTGTTGCTGTGGGAGGTGGGGAAAGCTGAGGTGGGAGGGAGAGTGGGTGTGGCTGGAAAAGGGCAACAGGAGGCATCTTGTGGTGATGGAAATGTTCTGTATCTTGACTGTATCAATGTCAATATCCTGGTTGTGATTTTGTAGTACAGTTTTGCAATGCTACCACTGGGAAAACTGGGTAAAGGTAACTGGGATCTCTCTGTATTATTTCTTACAACTGCATGTTGAGTCTACAATTATCTCAACATTTAAAAATTAATATTTAAAAAGTTATAAAAGAGAAATCGACAGAATATAACATAATTATATAAAAACTCTAGAAGCTATAAATTCTGCCTATTAAGCTGATTAATGATATCTTCAGACTACTAATATTTTTGATATCTTAGGAACAAAAACTATTCCATAAAGCACCCATTATAAGTGTTAATTTATTATAGTCCTACAACATGTCAGATGCTAGGTAAAGAGGATATAAAATGAACAGGCACCTACCCTCAAGGTGTGCACAGTGTAGTAGGGCTGACTGAATGGCAAACATGCTCAGAATGCAATCTGGAATGTGCAACGATAGAAATATAAGGTTGAATGGGAGCATAACTTCATAGGAGTCAGGTAAGCTTCATGGAAAGTTGACAACTGAGCAGAATCCCTAAAGGGGGAAAAAGTTGCAGGCAGAAAATAGAGAAGAAAATGCAAAATACACTGCAGGATTTTAAACGAGAGATTATTATATTTGTGTTTTATAAAGATATCTTATAATAGTTTGGAGGAGACAGCTGGAGGCTACCGTGTTAGTCTAAGGAATAACAGGGCATGTGAGATCTAGGAGAACAGTAGGGACAGAGAGAAGGAAACAATTAAAAGTGATGTTTTGGAGGGAGAACTGATAGGACTTGCTGACCTAGAAGAAGGGTAGCCAAACATTTTCTGTAAAGGATCAGAGAGTAAATCCTTAGGCTTTGCAGGCCACATAGGGTCTCTGTCATAATAAATATAAATTAAAAATACACACACACACACACACACACACACACACACACACACACACACATATATATGCTTATTTTAAATAACCACTCAAAAATGTAAAACCCATTCTTGGCTCATCTCGACTCACAGGTCTCTTCTGGTCAGATTTGACCCAGTAGCTATAGCTTGCTGATCCCTGACCTAGGGGATAAGCAATAAGGAAGGAAGAGCCTGAGATGACATCCAGGTTTATGGCCTAACCTAGTGGATAACCACTAACAAAGACTGAACACAGAATAAAGGCAAAAGTTCTGAGATGTTGTTGAGAGGGTGGGTGAAAAAAGCAAGTTTAGTTTTAGATGGCCCTGGTGGAATTGTTAAATATAGTGTTGGATATATAAAAATGGAGCTCAGAACAGAGAGCTGAGTAGGAGACAGATTTGGAAATCATCAGGATACAAAATAGTTAAAACTGTGTAAGTGGCTAACAGCCAAGGTGAGTGTCAAATGAAAAAAAAAGTTGGCTACAAATATGGGAAACACTAAGGTTGGAGGATGGGGGAGAGAGAAAGAAAGGAGTCTGGGAAGAAAACTAACAAAGAGGACACAGAGAAGCAGGTATGTTTTAAAATGCTAAAGGACAGCAGAAAACCAGGTTGTGGACCTTCATTTATTGCCCAGGAAAAAAATGCTAAAGCACAGATGTTCCAAAAGGCAGTGAGGGCTGCCTAAGGACAGACAATCCCCATGATTCTGGCTATAATTTCCAAGAGGCCAATTGTTATAAGGTCTCTTTCCCAAAACAAAGGTTTATTCCTTGGCCAAGTTATACTATTGTTTCCTAACCTGTCACCAGCCTACTCTTCGTGTAAACCATGCATGGGAGTAGGAGCCAAGTGCTAGAGGAGAACGTTTACATATTAACCTCACTTCTCCTTCCATGAATGGAGGTCCAGTTGTAACATCTCTGGCATTTCTTTGCCACTGAGATGATTCTATTTTGGGAAGGGAAGCAACTGATCTGGTGGGAAATTTTGGGAAAAATAAACAGTCCAGTCATGCTCTTTTTCCTTATAGGAGTGAGCTTGCCAGTAGGAGGTGGGATGGGTGAAGGGTTTGTATACCACATATGCCTTCTCCAATCCAGGGCAATCCTACTATGACTAAGGCACAGGTCTGCCTAATTTTGGAATTCAGTAAGCAAACCAATTTGGCTCTAGTACTAAATTGCTTCCTTTACCTTAGCCTTTATCAATAATAAAGGCAATATCATGGCCCCTATCTGCTAAACCTTTAGGGTTTTTTTAAAATTTATTCAGAACCTAGATTGGGTAAAAAGGTGCTATTTATTTCTTTCCCCTCCCTTCTAGATGCTAACATTGGGTGTAGATAAGTAACAATCTAACTTTACATTAATCTAATTAATCTAATGTAATCTTAGTAAATTCAAGACTTAAAAAGAGGTTATATAAGCTCCCCATCTTTCTTTTAGATGGAGTTTCTTAGGTATTTTAATAATGAGAATGTTGTACCTCACATTTGTTTATAACATGAGGCAGGCAAGAGACTACCACAACAAGAGATATACTTATGGCTGAAATTAATTTCAAACATTTCATCTACTTTCAGATTGCAAGATTTTTGGAAAAACTTCCAAGAACTCTTAATATCATCAAACACAGTCAAGGAAATCATAGCACAATTCTATTCTTAAGAAAAACACATCTCCAGCCGAAGCCGGTTTGGCTCAGTGGATAGAGCGTCGGTCTGCGGACTGAAGGGTCCCAGGTTCGATTCCGGTCAAGGGCATGTACATTGGTTGCGGGCACATCCCCGGTAGGGGGTGTGCAGGAGGCAGCTGGTCGATGTTTCTCTCTCATCGATGTTTCTAGCTCTCTATCCCTCTCCCTTCCTCTCTGTAAAAAATTAATAAAATATATTTAAAAAGAAAAAAAAAAAAACACATCTCCAAATGTCCTCCAAGTACTTAAATATAATCATAAATATTTATCTCTGATATTTTTAAAATACTTGAGAAGACAAATTATTTGAATAAGTAGATTTAGTAATTTCATGCAAAAATACGGCCCACACTATTTATTCTACACTACACTGTACCGTTTTTAGTCTTAGGAAGGAAAAACACACATCCTACAGAAAAAGGAAGCAATCAAAATTGTAAAAAGGTTTAAAGAATACCTCCTATCTGGGTTCTGCCTGTTTGAACTATGACCACATGGGACTCTATTAGAAAAATAAAATTGTTCCGGCCAGTGTGGCTCAGTGGTTGAACACTGACCCATGCACCAGGCGGTTATCGGCTCAATTCCTGGTCAGGGCACATGCCCGGGTTTTGAGCTTGATCCCTGGTGAGGGGCATGCAGGAGGCAGCCAATTAATGTTGATTCTCTCCCACTGATGTTTCTATTTCTCTCCCCCTCTCCCTTCCTCTCTCTCTAAAAAAAAAAAATCAATAAAAGCATTTTATTTTTTAGGAGTTTTTATATTTTTTATTGATTTCAGAGAGGAAGGGAGAGGGAGAGAAACACAGAAGCATCAACAATGAGAGAGAATCATTGATCAGCTGCTTCCTGCATGTGCCCTGACTGGGAATTGAACCCTGACCCGGATTCATAGTTCAACACTCAGCCACTGAGCCACACCAGCTGAGCTAAAATTATTTTAGCTCAGCTGGTGTGGCTCAGTGGCTGAGTGTTGAAAAAAATAAAATAAAATCGCCCAGAAATAGTATAACCAGTGATTCGTCCTACAATGGGCTTCTCCACCAATCACGGTAGACACTGTCCAGAGCTAAAGACACATCTCTACTGCTTCTATCACCCACCATACATTAAGGACCAGGTTATACAGATTATGTTGTAACAACCATACTGAATGAATCTGGGTCTAGGTGGCTACAGACCAGGGTAGGCCAGGAAGAAAAGAACTTTACATGGGATGGCAGGTGGACTGACTAGAGGAGGGTGCTCTACTAAATCTGTAAGTTAACTTGCAGGTACTCAATCTTACTTGTCTCACTATACTACGAAGCATCCAACACAAAGCTTTACAAAATTACATAGTAACTGTTCAAGTAGTTATCTGTTTAGTGGAACTAAGTGCTGTGGCAGATGAAGCTACATTTGGAGATTTTGTGGAATTTCCTTCTTCCGGATTATGTGCTAAGAGTGTGGGATAGATTTAGGGGGGAGCCTAAAAGAATACATAAGCATTTTGTTCTGCCCAAATGAAAGCAAGGAATACCCTATGTGTCTTTATTTATTAGAGCTCACATGTAGAATGGTACATGTCTAAACACTCTTTGTATGCCACGAGAGTTCTTTGTTTCAACAGCACCCACTAGCCAAGATGCTGACACTGGGCATATTCTCAAACTCTCAACTGTCTCCTAGAGCTATTCAGATCTGACTTAATCCTGTCCATGAAGAGTCACAGCACGAGAGAGGCTGGATCAAGATACTCTATGAAAAGCAGCCATTACATAAGCAGCCTAATTCACGGAAGAAGGCACTGGGACACCAAAATGTTTTCTATTATTTTAAATGCTGGCAACACAAAGAAGAACCAGCAATCAATATTTTAAGTAAAGTAATTGTATAGACTCACCAGCCTACAGAATTTATAAATTAAAACTCTGATTTTCCTTATCTGGGAAATGGCAAGGTTGGAGAATGGAAGAGAGGAGATTCAGAAACAATGCAGTAAATTGGAAGGTCTTTAAAAACAGAGCCTGCATTTTGTTCACTTTATCTGTCAGAGAGTCTAGCAGTAGTGCTTTGCCGCAGCATGCAGTAACTGTCTGCAGAATCAAACTGCTGCAAAAGCATTCTCAGCACACCACCAACCTAGAACGCCACAATGTTAGGAAGCCTCAACTCCCACCTTAGCAAATGCTTTCAGTTCTGCTCACACAAATAAAAACATCTAAACTATGTCTATAGGAAATATATATTAACTTCATAATATACAAGTTGAGAAATAAGACTCTCCTTTATGAAGGTGTATTTTTAACAAGAGCCATAAGCTCAGCAAAGTTTGAGGAAACTGGTCTTAGTCCAGAGGTAATATTTGTATATCAGCATGTGACAAACATCTTAGCTTTGAAGAAAAACAAAAGACGCATGAGGATTATGAAATAAAATAGTAGATCCAACTTTGTAATTTTAAAAAGTGTTTGCTTTGTTTCTATAGACTGAAGGAAGACACATGAGAGCTATCTTGTGTTGAAAAGGAAAGGGCAACCTAAGCAGAGCAGTGTAACTAGGGCTGTGTTGTTAAATTCTAAAGAGCAAACATCTGTAATCCTGTCATATGGCTGCATCCATAAATGTCTTTTCCTAAAGCACTAGTTAAACTAAAGGTTAAAATGGAAAGACAAATGAATCTTTTAAATAAACTTCCAGTTCTAGATGAATGTTAAATTTTATGAATTAAAAGACCTAGGTTCTGAGGGTCACAGAGAATTGGACTCCCATCTACTTACAGCCATGTATTTTATTTATATCCTAGAGACCCGGTACACGGATTTGTGCACAGTGAAAGGAAATTAATTAGAAGGTGGCTGGTGGGGCAGGACTGAGCAAAACGGGCCGAACACGCCCTGGAGCCAACCTCCCACAGTCCCTCCCGGCCGGCCACACCTAGGGTGGCTCCGGGGCTCGAAGGGCATCTGCGGAGTGAGTGGGATCCTTCTGGCAGTATTATATAGGAATAGAGGCCTGATGCTCGAAATTCGTGCAAAGGGCCTGGCCCTCGCAGCCACGGTGGCTTGCCTCAGCCCTCGCAGCCACAGCAGCTGCCTCGGCCTCAAAGCCCGGCTTTGTCCAGAAGGTCATCCAGAAGGACGTCCAGAAGAACGTCCAGAAGGTCATTCGGCTGTCCAGTCTAATTAGCATATTACACTTTCATTATTATAGATTCTCTGTGAGGCTTTTCCTGGGAACCCCATTTTTCCCTCAGTGTTGCCGGGGTATTTTCTTTCCATATCTCTATTATCATTTAAATCAGCATATAATCAAATTTTAATTTCCTTTTTCTTATAAGTCAGTTCCTGATTAGACTGTGAACTCTTTGTAGACAGATACTGGGTCATAGTCATTTTGCTATCTTCAGTTATCCACTAAATAGTGAGCAGTCACTAAAAGTTTTGTTGAGAGAATGAAGCCAAACTTCTGAGAATCTTGTTTTATAAATTTAAGGCTGCTGCCTGGCCGGTGTGGCTCAGTGGTTGAGTATCACCCCAGACACCAAGAGGTCATTGGTTCGATTCCCAGTCAAGGGTACATTCCTGGTTACAGGCTCTATCCCTGGTAAAGGGCGTGAAGGAGGCAGCCAATCGATGTTTCTATCTCTCCCTTCTGCCTCTCCCTCTAAAAAATCAATAAAAACATATTAAAAAACAAAAACAAATTTAAGGCTGCTCACTCAAAGTAAGTCTTCAAGTAACCCAAGTTTTTGAAAAAAATTATGTGTTTTTGTGTCAAATATCCACATGTTTGTCTATATCTTTATACTTTAGAATGTCAGCAACTATCTCATGCAGAATGATGTTTTGTATTTAATAAGTGCAAATATGTACTGATCCAATTAATACATCTAGAAAACTGGGTGTTCAAATGTGTGTGTGTGTGTGTGTATGCTTAAAGAGTGAGAATTTACATATATATTACACAGCACTATATAGTACATATATGTATGTATATTATACAGCACTACAAAACATAAAAGACAAATTCTATAAAGCTGTTTTTAAGATATGAAGGTTTTTTAAATAACATATACAAGAAATCAGAGAACTTTCTCATTTTTACTCAGGACTTGGAAAATCATCTAGAGTTGATTTTCAGAAGTAATAAAAGAATCATGACACAGCAAAACCCCGTCAAACTACTGAATTTTTCATAAAGACATCAGAGAACTTCACTCATAGAGGTGACACATTTCTATAACCAACTGCAAAAGATTTGACTTTAACAACTAGTAGCAGATGTCAACACAGAAGCTCAGTTGTTACTCTTTCTTGGAAATTAGATGATCCTTAAGCGTATTAGCTTCACAATAAATAAACATGTAAAAACATTTTTAAAGACCAGTATTTACTCTTAAAATAGTAACCATGAAAACAAGTTTAGTCGCTTTAAAAAGACCAATATTTATCTAATATCCATATAATAACTTTTAACCTTTGCACTCGGATGTCGAGTGTGACTCGACACTGTTAGCATCGGTAGCAGCTCGAGAAAAAAGCAAGCGAGTGCAAAGGGTTAAAATAACATTTACAGTTCATTTAAAAGTGGAGTATAATTTTATAAAGGAGACCTGAATGTCTAGCCACAATTTCATAAAAGGTAATAGTGAGAAGTCAAAAAAAGAATCTAAGCAATCTCTTATAAAGTAATCTCTTATAAAAATCCTTACAACCTGTAAAGGGGTTAAGAGTCTTATCCTTCCCTTACAGTCTCACCCCCAATTCACCCTCAAATAACTGTGACAAAGCAGTAGGCCAAGAGAAGGGGTCCAACAGTTCAGATGATGGAATTCACATGCAAATTCTCTTCCACCTTCAAATGTCTGGCTGGTAAGAGTATTACCAACCACATAACATGGCCTTGGTTTTCAGTAACAAGATGCCATTTAATATGACACAATATACAGTAGAGATTTACTTCCCATTTGAGAAGGTGGCCATGACCTAGAATTTCCTAGGTGACATGTTTAATAACTCTCTTCACTATTTCAGTAATTAACATACCCTGGGATAAGATACAACAAGAGCTCAACAGTTAGCATACTCTGGGAGAGAGAGAAAAACAATAACCACATTCACTAAAAACGAAACTATCTTCATCACTATACTTTTTTTCTTGACTAATAAATAAGGAAAAAATGCCTTTGAGATATATGCTCAGCAAAATTTGAGGTAACTATGGTCTTATTCTAGGGGTAATATTTGTATATCAGCATGGCAATCTTCATTCCACATTACGGGCGGATCACGAGCATTCTCGTGTTTTCATATTACATAATGTTTTACATAAATGTTAAAGACATGCCTTAAAACCAAATACCCATTGCATTTGAAAGTTATTTATTATATGTTCTTACAAGCTAATATCTTCTTAGTTGTGAGAAACCAAGATGGCAGTATAGGTAAACACATGAACTTGCTGCCTCACACAACCACTTCAAAACTAAAACTGAAAGACAAAACAGACATCATCCAGAACCACAGGAAGGCTGGCTGAGTGAAAATTCTACAAATAGAAGGGAAGAGAAAAGCACACTGAGACTCGGAGGAGGTGTGGAAGCAAAGTGCGGAGGTACGGAGACACACACGCGCAGAAAGGGGCTGGCGACTGAGTATGCGGGTGTCTTTTTCAATCAGGAAGAAGACACAAGCTCCCAACTGCTCTGAACTCCAGTTCCGGGCTAGACTCTGGGGACCCAGACTCATATGGGGAGAAACTGCACTGTCTGGCAATCGGGCCAGAACACAAGGGTGGCTTTCTCTCAGAGGTGCTTGCAGCGATTACCATGGGACACTGAGACCCGGGGGCCTCTTAGGGCAGGGCTGAGAGTCAGCCATTGCTGTTTGCTCCACCCTGTTGATTCCCTGAGACCCCGCCCCACCCAATTTACAACCCCAC